CTACAAGGAACCCCTTGCCTATTTAGGCCAATAATGCCACCTTAGAGATAATAGATGGGGTAATGGTTATTCCTAGAATTGTGTTGACAATGGGGAAGTAGTAGTGATATATCGGTGAAGTTTAGGGGGGAACCTAGGAATAATCATCTAATGGGGGAAGTAGTAGTGATTTATCGGTGAAATGTAGGGGGGGGACCCTAGGAATTCCTAAAAATGATCATCTAATTGGTTGGCGGTGGCATTATTAGCCTAAATAGGCAAGGTATACTCTAACTTAGACATGGGGATATCGCGAACTGGACTCATGCCACTTTGGTCACGTGCCCCGACGTGAATACAAGCTCAGTGGGCGCAACGAAGACATGAAATATACCTTTATGACAATGTCACACCTGCTAGGAGGCGACTTTTCTGTGGAATGCAAACGGTCAAGAACATGACACATTAGCCTGCCGTGAGTGGATGATGCAGGGCTATTGCAAGTCTTATGAGTCCTGAGGCGACGGCTTGGTTGAAGTGGTCGGAGTCGGAGAGTGTGGCACCTACAGGTCGCGCAAAAGCTGAGGAGCAGTGTGTCGCCGATTTTTGGAGGATCGAAAGAGGCATGCTCTCAGCTTCAGGCAGATGGCGTTCGCGCCAGACCCCTCGCAGGGGCAGCAGGCCTCGGAAGAGTCTCACAGAGCTCTGAAAAGCCCTAAACCCTAAACCCTAAGCCGGCTTAGCACAGCTTAGCCTGCGGCATCCTGCAGACCGGCTCGGGATCCTTGCATGCCTGCTACGGCACCGGGATCCCCAACTTTGCTCTCTCTCTTTTAGGATCTCTTCAACCCCCGCCTTCAGCTTCGGCGAGTCGAAGGACGTGGATCCTTCTGGGTCTCATACGCAAGAGTAGGGCAAGGCCAGTCGAACTACCACCCAGTGCGACAAACAAAGTCTCCGTCCTTGCCAGGATGACCCATTGTCCTTCACTGACAGTGGCGAGGGAAGCAGAGGATAGGAGAAGCAACCAGACAGATTGCGTGCTGTCTTGTTTCGGAAGGGTCCTGGACCGATTTGCGAGGTCGGACAACCCCAGGAGTTCCCACTTCCTGGCAACTTATGCAACTTGAGACTGGGGAGGCATACCTCGAAGTCCTTCTGGCCTCGTCATCCGAATCTTCGGCGGGCCGCCCATTTCGGCGAGGATCGATTACCGTCTCAGCGCATCCGACATTTCTCACTTTCATGACCACCGTCGATCGCTCCTTTCTGTCAACGACTGCTAAGGCTCGAGCCACTTTGCGGCTGGGCATGAGTGTCTTCTCCTGTGTATGCGTAAGTGATTGCAAGTGTACTACGTCTCTCGAGCACTCGCCGGCAACGCTCTGAGCTCATGCTTGAGTGGCTGTCGTTCAATATACTTCCCACCTCTGCCGGCACGAAATTGATGGGCTCACGCTTCGGAGGCTCCTCTGCAACCTGGCACAGCCATCGCGTTAAACGTGCTGTGACCAGATCATCTCCGTGGAGGCCTCGGGCTGAGGTTCCTTGGGCTCTGTGCCCATGATGAGCTCCCGCCTGTAACAACGTAGAAATATGATACTTCATCACTAGGCAGATCTCAAGCGGATGCCTGGCTTGGCCGGCCGGTTGCGAGCTTCCAATCTGTCAAGAAAATGTGGCGGGGCTGAGAGCTGAGATCGGCAGGTTGGGAGCCCTGCTCCGCCGCGAGTATCCAGCTCAGTCTTTGCCTTCTTCCGCCGATCCCTGGAAAGGCGCAGCGAGACCCCGTGCGACGCCACGTGTCAGGGTCCGAGTCCCCCTTCTTGCACTCAGCTCGCTGCGCGGGCAGCTCGCCACGAGCCTCGGCCTCGGGGCAATTCAGGGGGTGGCACGTGGGTTCACGTGGGCTTCGGTCGCCGAGCATCGGTGGCACCGGGGCATAATCAGGATTCGCGCTTCGTGCTGCTCTTTTGCATCTTTGTGCTCTGTTGCTGTCTGCTCTTTCGGAACTAGCCAGACTTTCGAAACACAGGCTAAGTGGGGAGGGTATGCAGCTCAGAGCGGAGCCTCAGCCTTCGCCTTCAGTCTTTCGAAAGCCGAACCGAAGACTTTGCTGGCTGACGGGTCCGGGCCTCCATAGAGCACAGCAAGGAGTGAAGTGCAGAGACCACTGCTTCTGATATACTATATATACTATATAAACTGTATATACTATATATATAATATATATATATATATATACTATATATACTCTATATATATATATATGGGGCCTGAATAGCTGGAGCTCCCAGAGTTCGCAGGCTGGGGCTTCTTCGGCGTGGGAGCCTCATGCTCACACTCCAGTGACTCTCCCACATATGCCAGTGACTGCCGGCCTCGTCCTGTCTATCGGATGGCTTCTCGCTTGCTTCTGCAGAGCCCTCAGGCTGCACGTGCTGAAGGTTCTGGGGCCGGATTGCAATCTGACCTGTGCAGGCGGCAACGAAAGACCCGTGGCGCATCAACCGAGGCTTCCTCCCGAGTCCGTCTCAGGCGAAGGCTTCCGCTCTCCAGCTTCAGCACGATTCGTCCCGGCCTTCCGAATTTCTCACCGACTGCGGGTCCTCTGTCTGCCGTGTGGCTCAGAGGGCTCGGCTGTGAGGGATCTGCAACTCTGAGCACCTCTGCGGTGCAACCGTTGAGGTCAGGCCTGAGTCTGAGTCGCCGTGAGCTCGTGACTGCCCCTTCTTGCAACAGCTGATATGCCTCTTTTCCAAGCCGTGCAAAGTGACCGCATCGCCCTCCTGCAATTTGAATTGGTACTTGCACTTGACACGTGCTCTCTGCCAAAGGTCACAAGACCAGGATCAGGAATCAGGCGAAGTGCCGATCTGGGCTCCTGAAAATGGTTCGGAGCCTGGCTCAGTCTTGGGTCAGACCTCGGATCCAGGAATTGCCGGAGAGGCTCCAATGAAAAAGGCAATGGCACCCTCTACCCATCGAGTCAAACTGCTGAGGCCGCACGTCGTCAGACCTGGTCCTATTTCCTGCCATGCCTAGCCGAAGCAAGATCCCAGTCTTGGCTCCCAGCTTTGCTGCCTCTGAAGCCTGCGCGGCCAAGCAAAAGTCGCCGGAAACCGTGCGACAGCCAAGAGACGAACGTTGCCTCTTCCAGCCAGGAGAGTAAGTCCTGGCCAGATGGTGTTGAACTAGGGCATTATGACAATGCGTGCCAGACGGACACCACCGCCCCCTGGCCAGCAGCCCGGTCCTTTAGCTGTCTTTGCTTCTGCGATGGTAGGTGAGGTGCAATCTGCTCGCCTCAGCCCAGCCGCCCAGCCGAAGGATGCAACCAACTTGCGCAACTCGCTTTACCTGCCATGGCCCTACTAGAGCCTGGCCAAGCCTTTCTGCACATGTGACCCTGCAAGGATGATAGTAGATGATCGTAGACCAGTATCTAAAAAAAGATCCCTTAACGACACTATGAGAGATTTAAGTCGAAGCTACCAGCCTTCATGATGCTTCACAGACTTGTACGCGAGGCTTGTGATCGGAAATTCGCGCGAAGCAGAAAGAGCAGCTTACAAATTGCTCAGAAATCTGGTGGATAATTTCCCCTTTACCAGGGAGGGTAAGGCCAGCGACTGCTGTCGTTGCCGCCTCTTCATCTTTGGCAATGCCGTGTCATCAATAGTTTGTCGCAAGCCATCACCTTCCGTCTGCACATGGGGAGACAGCCATCTTTGAATCAGACACCGACATGTGGCTTCCTGGGATGTTGCAACTCGATGGAGCCTTTTGCCACCTCGATCTCCCATCTGGCAGTAAACCTGCTGTCCATCGGGCCAAGCAGAAAGATAATGATACGCAGCTGAAGTTGAGCACGAGAAAGGCCGTACCCAGACCGCCAGAACCATTCAAAGCCATTGCCACATGCCTGCATTGCCTCCTGCACGTGGAAAAGGCAGGGCAGCTGATCGGATCTGCAGCGCTTTGGCTCCTTGCAGCCGTGTCTTCCTGTGTGACTACTTCAGGGCCGCAGCCTCAAGAGATTGATACTCTTGCAAATGGAGTTGCATTCTTAAGAAGATCTGGTAGCGAGCGCCGTGAAATTGTTGGACCTTTCGATCTTGCTGCGGCTCAACAGTCAACCCCGGCTGTTGCATCGACGACATGGCTTCAGCGACAGAATCAAATTCAGAAGCAGCAGTGGCGGCCAGCATGGCACTGCCGCGAATCACATCGGCACCGGGGCATTTCGTGCAATACAGCGGCAGGTTGAGAACGTTAGCATGCTCCTGCATGTAGAGGGCATTCTGGCCAAGGCCACCGCAAACATGGATTGCAGAAATGCTGGCAATTCCAGCTTTTCCTCGAGCTGAGTTCATCTCTTCGATGATCGAGCGCGACGAATAGGCAAGGGCTTGTATCGTGGCCAAATAAAGAACTGAGAGTGCCTCGAGGGACGCAGCTCGCTTTGCATCCCCGGCTGGTCCAAGCCCAAGAAAGCTTCCTCTCAGGTGGGGATCTGCGAGCGGCGAGCGATTCCCGCTGAAGTCAGGCCCGACGAACAAGCCTTGTGAGAGGAGCGACGCATGTTGCAGCCCCTTCTGCTGCGCCAGGCTATTCACCTTTTGGTTCAAAATCTCAGATGTGCTGCAGGAAGCCGCAGTCGCTTCAGCTTGCAGCTCCGGAAAGGCAGCATGCGATTCGACGATGAAGTCCAAGGCTGCCCCTGCAGCAGTCTGCCCCGCCTCGTTCAGGAAAAGGCCTGGAATCATAGCAGAATCATAAGGGCCCCAAATGCCAGGTATTTTGACGGCCAGCGAGCTTGATGCCATGTGACAGGCAGATGTCCCCGCGATGAGGGCCAGCTTTGCTTCGAGAGGTACCGTCGATGCTCCAAGGCCAAGACAGCCAATGCCCCCAGCGTGAGCGTCAATGGCCCCCACGCCCAGTACGGTGCCTGCAGGCAGGCCGAGCTCCTGTGCTGCCCTCTCTCCTAACCCTCCTGACACGGCACTGCCGACGTCCTGGACGTCGGCAGCCGTACCAATCTTCGAAAACGGTAATTCTGACAATTGAGCCGACTGGAGGAATTCAGCATCCCAGCCTCTTTCTGCAGCGTTGAAGTTCCACTTGCAAACAACGGTGCACAAACTCCTCACACCTGCACTGCTGCCCCGCGTGCTTCTGAAGTCGGCAGCTCGGTGAAGCAGATAGTCTGCCAAATCGTAGAAGCGGGTGGCGCTCGCAAAGGTCTTCGGCTTGAAGCGTTTCAGCCATGCCAGCTTTGGCATTTGCATCTCTGGTGACACTTGACCACCAACAAACTGCAAGAGCTGGTGCCCAGCGTCATTGATCATCTGTGCTTCCTGCGTGGCACGATGGTCGCACCACAGAATGACATCATACATCAGATCCCCTACAAAGTGAGGCTTTTCTGGAACGTCTGGCAAATCAGCTCCGACAGCCACATTCGCGACGACGAGGGAGCAGGTTGCATCAAAGGAGACTCCTTCAACATGAAGCCTTCCTGCAGCTTCTGCTTCAGAGAGAGCTTCACGAACAGAGCTGCAACATGCCTCCCAGATCTGCTGCGAGCTCTGTTCGAAATGACCAGGACAAGGTCGGCGAGTGGAAAGCCCACACGTTGCCATCCCCAGCAGGTTGCCTTCCGAGTCAAAAACACCTGCACGAGTGCTACCTGTGCCGACGTCAACGCCCACAAAGCATTTGCGTGTCTGGCCGTGCATGGCGCGAGGAGTACATAAAATTCACTAGTTCGTGAGCCAGTTCTGCCAGACGCACCTCTTCTTAGCGATTTTAGTATAGTTGCAATCAATGTCTCTCTCGCTCTCTCTCTCTGCATAGCGCAGCCTATGCTCCCGCAAGAGAAGTGAGAGTGGTGTCTGCAAGCAGTCAGCCGATAATTGCCCGCGTCGACTGGGGCATACGCTCAAGGTTTGGATATCCAAGGCCTGCTTTGAAGCCAGTTGGGCACACACAATGCCGACGATCACCTCAGCGGAAGGCAGAGGAAGCTCACCGTCTGCAGCGCAAAGGGCAGCTGGGCTGTGCACCGGCAAGGAGTCGCAATCCTCGCCCAAGACCTGTCGTATTCGCATACTGCATTTGGGCATCATGTCCAAAGTTACTCACCCTAAACCCTAAACCCTATACTCTGCGACCTGATGCAGCCCTGGCCTTGCGGACCTGCTCCGTTATCTTGGCCTTGCGGCGCGGGCTGGGCGTTGTAATTGTAACACTTAGGTTCAGGTGAAGGGGGCGCAGGCTGCAAATCTGGAAGCCAGGTCGGAGTACAGAAGTTTCTAGAGTCCTTCTTGTGAAGCCCAGAAGATGCTGCTGGGTTCTCCGTACTTCCGTTGCCCGCCCTAAACCAATAAACACTGCGTGAAAGTTCCAGCGAGACAGGGGTGGGTAAAAATGAACCTGGCATGACATAACTGCTTCATGAAGCCTAAGGGCCCAAAACTCGAAGCCTGCCACGTGCCGACCGCCTTGCTGGCTTTTTTGAAGTTGAAGCATCTGGTCTGGTAGCGACAGTTGTAGTATAATGTTGTCGTCGTCTGGTACGTAGTAGAAACAATACTGCAAACGGTCGTATCTAAGTTTGAGACCATGGGCCCTGGTACGGGCCCTTAACCCTGGGACCCTGATATACTTACCATTCACCCTGTAACTGTATACACCTTTAAGGGTGCCTGGAACCCCATCTTAGGGGCCCATACTTCTAACCTTAGGTCGCCACAGTCAGAGGGCTCAGCTTTAGGGCTCTCGTGTGTGAGGGCTTTCGAGTGCAAAGTTGGCTTGACGAAGTAGGTAGGATACATTACACCGGCTTCTATGAGGCTTTAAAACCCTAAACCCTAAACGATACATGGCAGCAACATGCAGCAACTGCAGTGCAGTCAAATCACCGGCTCCAGGGACAGAGTCGGGCTCGAACGGCTGGCAACTCCTTGGTCGCTGGAGAAAGCTTCTGGCGCGCCAACGTATCTGTGGTGTAGTAGTTTACGTACACTTGTTTACTTATATCACGGAAGCACATTGACAAGCATGGCAAGCATTTCCTTCTGCCAGCAAGTGGCCATTCCCAGTGACGGAAACCGAGACCTGCTCACACGGACTCAAGAAGCGACAACAGTGCCTTGGTGGTCGCACCTGTCGCGGAATGTCGGTGCCTCCGTTTTGACAGCGCGCAGCAGTCGACACGGTGGGGTTTGCAGTGGTGCCTCTGTCCCGCTTTGGACTGCGGCTACGTTCCCTCGGGTTGTCCTTGACTGGGCTCGCGCTCCTGGAAAGTTCCAGAGTGCGACAAACTGGCGGCCTTTCTGCGTTGAAGCTCCTCTCGCCATGCTGCTGTATCGGCTCTACCATGCCACGCAACCTGGAAGCTCCAATTGGCACGATGGGGTTGGTGTCTGGGTCCCTGGCCCAGCCTGTAGCAGCCATGGCTACCGTTTGTGAGTTTGCCAAGGTGGAAGTTCTACGAGTGCTTCAAACTTCTCATCCAAACTGCGCTGTGGACTAGCGGAGATGTGCTGGTGCTTCCGAATGCTTCGCCACTGGAATGCTTCAGGGTCGCGAGTAGGTTCTGACGGGTGAGATCCTGATGGTGTGTTTGGTGTCTGGGAAAGGTGTCAATTCTCGATCCCAGTATCTTGCGCCGCCTGACAAGAAATACTGAGTACAGCAGGCTCCCTTCACTACAGCTGGACCAGCCCAACAGTGGCCATGACATCTCTGCCCTGGACAGCTTTTGCGTAGGAGGCCCAGCGGAGCGGCGAAAATGTGTCTGTACTGAAACGGCCGCTGTGCGCACTTAGCACAATGTTGACCTTGTCATGAGCTCTGCTCAAGTTTCATCTGAAGGCTATCTGCTATCTGGCCCTCCCTGACACATGCTCAGGCACCCTCGACGGCAGGTTTGGACTCCCTGTTGACAAATCTGTCCTCCATTCCGTCCTGACGGCCATCCGTGTGCTCCTATCCCACCAAACATTACCAAGATCTTCAGCAAGGCTAGTGGCTAGCCGACAACTCATCACTTTACACAGAAGAGAACATAAGGTGGCATCAGCGTCCTGTTTTAGCCTCAGCTCCTTTCGCCGACCGAGGACACGGTAGCGGTTCTGCAGAGTCAAAATCGAAGACTCAAGAACCGAAAGAAGTGTTTGAGCGTTGCGAGGTGTCCTTGGCCACCACGTTGTATGCCCCGTCTCGTAGCGGTTTGGGTAGCAGTGCCTGTGCAGCCTGGCGGTAAGGCGTAGAAACCAACCCGCTCCGTTGGGACCTCTGGGAAAGCAAGGGAGACCTTGCTCAAGCCTTGCAGCACGCTGCTGCCTTCCAGCTGCTGTCCTACCTGCACTGGGCACCCAGCTGCTTAAGGAGCAAATCTACTCTGCAGAATGTGGGCTCAGGCAGCGACAAAGACAACAGCATCTGACCGAGAAAGACATTCACCATCAGGCTTCACAACCAGCATGGAGCTAAGATCCTGCGCGAGGCCAGAAAGAACATCTCAGTCACAGAAGCTACGAATAAAGTCTGCAAGCGCCACGCGTGATTCGTGATGCGCCGACGAGCCATGCTAACAAGGTTCGCGCAACATACAGGTCCCGGTGACTTGTGACGACACATCCTAAGGCAATTTTCCTCAGCTCGCCGGCCGCAGAAGACCAGCAGTTGCTTGCCGACCTCTGACTGCAATGCGGAGAAGCGCAGCCGGCGACCGTCAGGGTCCTGAATGCATAGAGAGCTTTGCTGCGGGAACCGAAGGATACTGGATCCCGAGGGGGCATCAAAGGCACCTTTGAAAAGCACGTGCTCTGGTCGAACCAGCTACGACACTCAGACCATTCATGGATGCGTCAGGTCCTTCTGCAAAGCCACATCCACGGCGCTGTTGCACATATTGCAAACGCCTCAGCACCAGGTCGTCAGAGCAAGTGGCCGCATTCATGTCTGAGTGTAGGCACCGTCATACAGGACAATCGGTCGATCGTCATGGTAGAAAAGCTCGTTGAAGGCGGCTTTTGCCTGGGGCTAGTGCCATAGAGAGCCATGTGGACAAAACCACACGAAGTTTATCCACTATTTTAAATGCTTTCGATCGAATGCCACGGAACTCCCTCGGTTGAAGAGCCGGCAGAACGCTGCAGGAGGCTGGATCGAGTTGCCGGCAACATGCCGACGAAAGCCCTCCCGCAAAGGATGCCGGCCATGGCCACCGGGGCAATGCGCGTCAGCCTGGATCGCACCATGGCTTCGCCAGGATTCAGGGCTGGAAGCGGCAGCGAGGACCTGAAGCTGTAATCGCACGAACTATACGACTACACGAATTCTGGTTGTTGACCACGACATGAACTTGGGAGCAAAAAGACTCAGGCACCTCGATATTGATCACACTGAGTCATGCCGCGAGTCGCGATTTCAAACAGTTGCTGAGCCGACGCAAATACCTACTCAGGACCTACTCTCATATGCCCGTTCAGCGGAATCTGATCGCCAGAATCCTAAAACATCACCGTCTGCACGCGGCAACAGATCAGATGGAAGCATTTTGCCCTGCTAGAGCAAGCTGCCACAGGAGTAGCTTGCAAACACCTGGGCCTGCTTTGAAGTCGCTGGTCTGGGAGCGTTAAAGAGACCGCGAAAAATCCGACTCCAACTCTCTGCTGTGAGATGATGTAGTGATGTGGGGGTTTCCGAAAATTAGGGGTACCGGTCCTTATATTAAGGATCCCATTAGTGAGGGTACTATATTATTAGGGTCCCCTATTTTCAGAAACCACCATGTAGCAAGCAGTCAATCCACGTCGACAAAGCCTGGCAACGCGATGCTGGACATGTGCTGGACAACCCAGGAATGTCGAAGTCTGAGCACCTCTAACCCCCTCCACGCCGAAGAGCTTGGGGCAGTGCATTCCCTGGGAAGGAGCGAATCCGTTCAAAAGGTCATCAAGAATCAACATCAAAAAGAGAACAATACAACTGCAGTCACTGAGATCTTGAAATATCGACTGCAAACTCTCGAGAGACTCATCACGCCTTCGCAGGCATCTCAAACACGGCAGCTTCAACTGCGGCCTGTACAGGGAAGACCGTTCTCATCGCCACAACTCCCGCGAGAGGATCGCTCCGTGTGAAGAGTCTGGGCGGACCGTTTCCTCATCGAGGAACTTGGCAACAGCCTGCAAAAATCCGACGAAGTGAGAGTCCCCAGGACTTTCCGACTTTCCCCTTTTGTCACCCTAAACCCTAAACTCCCCAAAATTCCCTAAACCCTCAGCGCCTCAGAAGCATGGTCCAGCTCCAGCCTGGCAGCTTCGGATCTACGGGGCTCTTCGGCGTCTCGGCTGAGGTTGCCACAGAGAGACGAGGCAACTCCGCTTCGCTTCAAAGTAGGCCTCCGGGGCTCAAGGGCCACTCCCTTAGGGTTTCGTTTTTTTTTTTAAGGGTTTAGGGTTTAGGGTTTTGGGTTTAGGGGTTTAGGGCTAAGGGGTTTAGGGTTTAGGGTTTAGGCTTTCAGCTTCCTTTTTGCTTGGTGCGCCTGGGCCTTTTCCTTGTACCAGACCTTCACCTGCAGAAATGGCTCCCTTGAAGCTTCAACGGAGTTTCTCCGTCTCAAGGCCGCCTTGGCGCTGAGGTTGAGGTATCTGAAGAGACTCTGACGGTTCTGAGTACTTTCCAACCTGCTGGCAAGACAAATTCACATGGCAAAACCACACGCTGCTGTCGCACGTCTCAGCACCCAGCCAGCTCATCATTCGCTCGGCAATGGCAAGGACTAGGTCCTGCAAGCACAGATCTTCGCTCAGATCAAAAGATGCGACTGTGGCTATTTCCGGGACTGGTGCGGCTAGCACGCGCCGTTTCCAAAGCATTTTCATGCTGCAGAAAAGACTTTGCTATCGCGGTGCATGCGCGTACAGCATCATGGAGAAGTCTGGCAGAGGAAGCAGAGTGTCGTCGTCCAACGTAAATCGAAGATTTGAGGGCAAGCTTTCGTCATCTTCCCGTCTCGGCAGAACTGGATCGCACCCAAAAACAACATGCCACAGGAATTCCTTGGCTGCTCATGCAAGGTTGCGATGAGACTTGCGATTCTGAGCCGCAAAGTACACTAAAGAAACTGAAGCCAGTGCTACTTGAGCCATGATGCGTAGAGATGGCATGGGCGTATTTGAAAGGCTGATCGCTGTCCAGGCTGTGGCGGCTTCGGGGGCCCAAGCTGAGGAATGCGTAAGCAGCCAGCCAGTGCCCCGAGCCTTTTGGTAAGGAGCTCCTGTGCTGCCTGGTAGAATTCCAAGCTGCGTGCCAAAATCCGGCTTTTGTGTACAAGGAACTGCGAACAGCAGTAGGATGCAAACAGCTGGCTGGAGGGCAGCCCCAGCAACTCCGTGATCTGTGCCAAGCACGGGGTCCAGTACATTAAATGTCGATCGTTGTTCAAGTGCAGGAAGAGCCGGGGGGCTAATGCTGATAAGGTACCAGACGAAATCATTTTCAGGACCAGGTTGAGGTATCCTAGATGCAAGTGGCGAGGTGCATCATCTTGCAAAAAGATAGTCCAATCCGCAAGTTCATGATAATGACGAAGTATATGGTACACATATCCGCCGCACTCGTCGCTGTGCACTGCACCTTCGGCAGGGTCCTGCACGTCTATATGCCAAGCCGGTATGCAATCCGATCTTTGGCATAGAGGGCTTTCAGCTGCTTCTCTACATTTCGCGATAATCAAGATACGCAGACTGGGCATTGAAGGAATGGCATCCACCCAAGTTAGGTCGCTCCTACACGCAACAATAACTATGTCCACACGCCTCGTCTCAGCTGAGGTTTCACGCCCGCTCATGCGTCGCACCTGTAGTGACTGAGCACTTGCTGCCGACACAGGCCACGTCCGCATCGTAACTCGGTAATGGTCCAGCTCGTAAGTATCATTTCCGGCTTTCATTCGTCGCAAGACTCGGAGGGCGCGGCCTCTGTAGTGTTGCCCGAGAAGGTCGTGAGAGTTCAGACTGAACCGGAGTTCGGCATGAAGGAAAAACGATGTGACCAACATGCCAGGACAAACTTGCAGCATTTCCTCCTGCTCCATGTCCGTCAAGGATGTGATCCACATAACTTCTTCAATTGGTGGCGCATGGGCTTGCCTTGGTACGCCAGTGTAGAAACTGAGAAACTTCTCCTGCAGCTCGTGCGCCAAAATCACGGCTTGAAAGCACTGGATGCCTGTCAACAACTGATCTTCGGGCGAGTTCAATGCCTTCTTGCTAGTGACATTGCTGTAGCGATTACCCCTTTGCCAGGAGCCATCGGCACTGCCCGGACACAGTGTGATTTGCGCACGAAAGTTCCACAAACATCCCAGGTAGTGCTCTTTTGAAACGTATCCGTGTTGGCCGCTGGCTGACTGAAAAGGCAGTGATGCGTGCGCAGCTAGCCGCCATAAAAAGCAAAGAACCGCAGTGTTTAGCAAAACCCGCCAGCACATTCAACGTGATGGCAGCTGCGGTGCAAGGCATGTTCGCGTTCTGCCTTCCCGAGTATGTATCATCGATTTGGAAAGATGAGCTGTCGATGCATCCGGGATCACCCACGCATGTGCAGCATGTCCAAATTTGTTTAGTACGACTCAACTCTGTTACAACTTGAACTTGTCCCGATCTGCAAGCTCACTTCTACAATGTCTCAGACGTGCTAGAGAAAATAGAGTGACAAGGCATCCATTTATGGGCCCGATCCTTCCGCACTTCGTCTAAATCATGTACCGAAACTCATCGGATTTGCCAAGCCCGCCACAACATCCGGCTTCCAGAAATTAGATTTGGTGCTAACGCCTCAGCTCCATGAAACGAGAAGATAGGAGAAAGCACCCCCGTCTATTGATGTTATGTTACAAGACATACACGTGTATACACAGGTACATGTAAATACAACGATCCGCGTGGCCAGTTCAACCCTTCTTTGGCTGCGGCGAGGAAGCACGGTTGACGGCGATGCGGCGGCAAGGGAAACCCCCAGCAGGAAATTCGATGTTGTGGATCAGTACAGAATTCTGCAGCAGAGTCATATCCTAACCCTAACCAAAGCTTGGAAGCTGCAAGCTTCCCACCTCGTCTAGATTCTCAAGCGGCTCGATGCTCCTGCCGTATGCAGAATTCTCACAACTATCGAGCCCCCGCTGATCTCTCAAGTGTGCCAGCTGGACCCCTGCTTCAGGAGGTTTTGGTCTTCCTCTTCTCTTCTCCGGCGTTCGGACTCTTTGGCCCTGGGACCAGGGCATTCCGAGATCTCTAGACTCTAGCATCTCGAGTAAGCGACGCACAGGTGAGATTAACAAGCCATGTAGCAGTATGTAACTATGTGATATTCTCCCGTGGTGCGACAAACGGATGAGCCCATGTAGCAGCCACGCACTGGCAAGGTACACAGCTAGTCTGACATGTGCACATGTGTATATACACATATTATTACATACACACATGCATAGGTATCATAAGTGCATACGTGTTCGCTTCACGAACAACACCATCTACCTGCTCTTGTGCTCTTGACCTCTGCTGTTTACAGATTTGCGGAGGCCGAACCACCATCAGGTTTCAGGTGACTGTACAGTACTCAAAGGCTCGTAGGTTCCGAGCAAATTTCCTCGGCCGGCATGATCGCTACCAGTCTTGGATTCTGGAACCCGGCAGGTGGTTGAACCAAGTGGCCATCCCTGCATAGGAGAGCAGGAAAGTCACTGGTCTAGTGTATGTTGGCTCCCCCTTGCTGGACCTCCCCAACGTTGCAGTCCGCTTTAGTCAACGACTTGCACCCAGGGGAGGGGCGGGGACCAAAGCTCCTACAGCAGTCTTGGCAGAAGGGTGCGAGCCGAGGCGACATGAAAGAGCCCCCGGTTCGGCACGTCGAAGCCGTAATCATGAGCATCACGCGCCCTCCGTTTCTCCAAAGTTTCCTCCGTTCAACAGCCTTCGAAGTATAGCCCAGACCAGGTCAGCAAAGCAGAGTATTCATGAAACCCTCCTTCAAGTTTGAGGAGAAAAATTCGTGACATTTCAATCAATCCCATTGTCTCCACTGTTCTCACTGAAAGTGTGCACAATGTTGTACCCGGCTTTGACTGTATGTGCCATCTAAGACTATCTGTGTGATCGTGTTCGGTCGAATTACCGGACTAGTCTGCAAATGTCAAGGTAGGTATGGTAGGCACATCGAAAGAGGACGTGTCATGACCGTGAGAAGCCCAAAGATCCAATCAAAGACTAGGTGGCTTGCTCGTAGGATAACCTCTGCGCTTCTTCGAGCTCTGCTTTCGCCTGTGTCGCAAAAGACGGTGCTGCATGAAAGGTTTGCAACGTGGTTGATGCTCTCGGACGGAAGCATGTCTGGGATTGCGCGGGGCGTATCTCAGCATGCTTGCCTTTTTGAAGAAGACTGCACAGCTTGCAGGACTGTCCGATCATACTGATCTTCAGATCAATTCGGGCGAACAGGGCTGTAGATGTAGGCCTGATCTTCCTACAGCAATCTAGCTGTGAAGTCGGCACAAAACTTCGGTGAGACAGGAACAAGCTCTCTCGGGTCATTTCCAATCCCTGCTGACGAGTGCAGCGGGCTTCGAATTATGCCACTTTCAAGCTTGCCCACATTCCTGTAATGCCTGCCACGCTCTTGCAGTAAACGCAATTGTAGTAGCGGTGGTGAGTCATAACGGCGAAGCTAAGAGATCTAAGAGGACTGGTTTTCGTTTTCGGCCCTCGAAAAGGGCGCAGAACTTCGAAGGACGACATTGAGCCCAAGACCATATGGCAACGAGCTACGTCTCCGCGCACACGTGGACTTCACCTGGCAGGATGACGTTACTTCGTGAAATACAGCAAATGCACAAGCAATGAAAGACACATACACGCCTGTATGCTGTGATGCCGGTTTCGTGGAAGGATTGTAACAAGCGTGTTTGAGTAGCCACGAGTCGACCGATGAATGCATGCCTGCATAAATAAATAAATACATATATATATATATATATGTATATATATATATATGTATACATATATATTTACACACTGATACACATTTACATTTGCATTTTACAACTTTGCTGGAGTATGTAATTCTGTAAGCCTGTGACCGTACATGTCAACATACACATACAGACCATGCACGACGGAGGCAATATAGTGTCAACCGTCGTCACGCTCTGAACATGGGCAGACACTGATCCTGCAAGCAAAGAGACGTGCCCGCCTGCACGCAGTCGTTTTGGCTGCTGTTGGAGGAGCCTCCGATGTGAGGACGACTCGACACGGACCCGTGCCCGGACACCAGCTACAAAGCTATGCCATGCCGACGACGATGCTGCAAGGCCTTGAGCTTGCTGTCCGCATCTGTCATGAACATTCGCTGCCTCAGCATTCGAGCTTTGCACGCAGTGGTAGCCATGATCGGAGCAATCCAAAACTCGTTCATTAGTGCGAAGCTTACGAAGCCAAATTAAGAACCGTGCATGAGCAGGGTGTTCAGAAGGCAGGGCAGCCTTTCCTCCCCCAAACCTCCTGTGCCAGCTCCCATCTCAAGCAGATAGGAGCAGACTTCCCGCTTGCCTGCATTCGCAGCAACCACCAATGGGGTTTCGTCATCTGCATTGCGCATGTTGATGTCTGCACCGTGCGCGACGAGGAGGGTTGCGATTTGCAAGTGTCCAGCCCGGGAAGCCATGTGAAGTGGAGTCTCATCCCACGCCTCTTGGGCATTCGGATTAGAGCCGCACTTCAGCAAGCTCTGGACCTCCTCTAACAAGCCCGCATGTGCTGCCACATGGAGCTTTGTGCAGCCGAAGGCATCAGTGCTTTCCACTGGAACCTGGGGCTGACGGTCCTTTCGAGCAACGGCATGTAGGATGGTGCGCAGTCGACAGGAGATCCCGAAGCATGCGAAGGCCACCAGCACGACGAGCAGATCCGGCAAGGGAGTCGGCAGCTCGGTGAGGCTGGGAATCCTGAAGAGCTGCGCGGCGGGCGTGTCGCAGGAGACATCAGGGATGTCAGAGGTTTCTGCAGGCTCTTGGCCAGTCTCCTCTTGCAGCAGCCATTCATCCGAAGCTTCTTGCAGCAATGGCAGTGCCACCGGCGGCGTTTTCAGCCCAGTGTGACGGGTAGATTTGTCAGCGGTTGTGAACTGAGTGATGGCCACCACCGAAAACAGGAATGCCAGGAAGATCGCCATGAAAAGCGAGTGTGGTTTTTTTCACTCGCTGTCTGCGTCTACTCTTCAAAGGTAGATGCAAAAGCCAGCCGAAGCACAAGAACTGCTGAGGGGCTGCAGCCAATCCTCGGCTTCGTTGCCGGCAGAATTTACGAAGGGAGTGCACGGTAAGCAGAAGGGTGTCTGCTTGGATACGCCCCAATCACTTGCTCAGAGCCGAAATCCAGCAGCAACGTCAGCATGAGGTTGTGCTGCCACTGAGCTGAGAGCGAGATTGAGAGGAGGTTGCGCTAGATTGGGCAAGATATGGCTGCTGATCAGAACAAGATTTCGCCTGTAGCGACAGCTCCTCACTCTCGGCTTCGTTGGGAAGGCTTTGCTCTTCAGACCTGACCCCATGAGAAAATTGATAAGACACGAGAGTTTGCAAAGCCAGCTGACAGTGCGCAAAGAGCCTGACCCGACTGAGCTGAGCACTGTTCCTGCTGCGCTTTGAACATCTGAGGCAAGTCCTTTGCACTTGACGACGAAGACGTGTGGACCTGCGTCTGTGGCAGTGCAGATCAGTGCAGCAGTGGTTGCAAGGTCGGGAGACAGATGCCATCTGTCTTGCCTTGTCAGGTGAGATCTGCTGATTGGAATCTTCGTCCGACTCCTCGCGTCGCTTTGGTTTAGAAGTACTGGAGACCTGCAGGCATCCAATCACACCTCCTCCTCCTCCTTCACGGAAGTGAAACCAAACTGAAGTCGAAGGACGATTTCCTCGGAGGACACGCTTTCGAGCTGCGCGCACCAATATTGAACTTAGCGCTGCATCACACCCGAACACTTCACACCATTATTTATCTGGTTTCGCGGGCGATGCACTTGCTTCGACACTTATGGTCTTCAACAAGGCCCGACTACGTGGGGGTCTCGTTGCAGCACAACTGTCACCAGAACTCCACAGCCTGCGCAGTTGCACGCCACGGGAGGTAAGCTTCAAGTCCCACTGCCCGAGGAGAGCACCGAGGGAGTCAGTGCGTCAGAATCTGCCCGCCCCGGCGACAGGGTATATTTGTAGCAGATGCCATCTTTCACCACCACCCGAACGTGATCGCGTTTAAGGCAGGTGATGTCGTCCAGCGGGTTGCCGTCTACTATAATGATGTCTGCGTATGCTCCTTTGGCGACTATGCCTAAAGGACCATCCTTGTAAGGGTTCATGCCCCCACTCCATGCCAGGACCTTCCCTGCATCTCCAGTGGCACTGCGAAGGGCCTCGGCTGCAGAAAAGCCGCCCAACGTTACGAGGGTGATCACGTTGTCCGCCTGCCGGTGCTGGGCAGAGGCACCAAACATGTCGCCACCCGAGATTGTCAGCGGCTTGTACTTTCGCACAAACTCCATCATCTGCTTTGCCCCCGAAGCCACTTTTGCTGCCTTCTTCTTCTGGTCTTTCGAAAAGAAAGTAATCTTCTCTGGCTCAGCAAATGCTTCCAGAGACATACATGACTGGAGGCACATCGCGGCACCTTCGTCGGCGATGCGCTTCATCGTGGACTCAGACATGAGGAAGCCATGCTCGATGCAGCGCACACCGGCATCCAGGCATCTGTTGATTGAATCATCGTGGTAGGCATGAGCCATAACATATGTTCCGTAGTCCCGGGCTACATCAACGGCAGCGCGCATCTCATCGTCTGTAAACTGTGTGACATGGATGGGGTCAAAGGCACTGGCACACCCCCCACCGGCCATGATCTTCAACTGTGTTGCCCCGTTTCGCAGGTTGTTCCGGGCAGCCTTTAGCATCTCGGGGCGTCCATCAACAATGTGGGAGAAGCCGAAACGCTCCAGCGTGTCAGCATCGCCAGGCTGGTCAAAGCAGCAGCCAGTGTCGCCATGCCCGCCTGTCTGACTCAGGAAAGCCCCACAAGCAAAAATGCGAGGACCTGGGATCCGACCGCCATTGATGGCCCTGGCCATGCCCAACACATTTCCACCGGCATCACGGCATGTAGTGAAACCTTGAAGCAAATAGTCGATACAGTCCTGCCCACACATAGCACCCATGGCCATTTGATCAAACTGATCACGGCCCTCCAGCATCCCTTCTTGTATTGCCAGGTGACTGTGCATATCAATCAACCCAGGCATTAGTGTGTGATCGGAGCAGTCAACGCTGACTGCGCCCCAGTTTTCTGCACTGATTCCTTCTCCGACGTCTTGGATCAGGTTCCCCACGACTAACACGTCTTGAGGCTGACTTAGCCCTTCTGAAAGGCCGTCGTAAATCCGGGCATTCTTAAACAGAATGGGCTTTTTCCGCTTCTCCGGCCGGAAGGCCGGGAAGAACTCTGGCATGGTGGCCTACAGCCCTCTCCGGGCACGCGACCCTCCAGAACTTGCTTGTAAACAGCTCACCGGGCACGCACAAGGCCAGCGAACTTGGCGGATTCTTTGAGGGGCAAGGCCTTGCTTGAATGCACTTGACCGAGATCCCAACATCTTCGCCTTCAGCCCCGTCCTGACCAGACCGAAGAGCTAACAAGTCGGGCATGAGATCGGATGCTTCGGGCGAGGGTCCTGGGGTCGTTTGCCGACATGCTTGATGCGTAACTCTGCAAAAAACAAGTCCAGCAGGTCCTCCAATCTGGTCACGCAGTCGCCAGTGTCCTGCGGACACAAGGACTGCTCCGGGGCGCGGCAGATTCCGGAGCTTACAGCACGGAGGTGTGTTTCTGGGTGAATTTAATAGGGTGTCGCTTTCCTCCTGAGCTGGTTCCAGTAGCTGTAGCTTGCACGGTTTCCGGGCTTTATAGGCATCAAATTCTGTGATTGTCAAGCATTCCTATGCATTTCAATTCCTAGCTGCGAACGTGGTGATTTGGCTCATTTCCAGTTGCAGGATTGGGCAGTGTTGCAGCATTTCTGCTTGCCGTCTGGCTCCCAGTACTTGGATTTATAGCACGTCCGGCGATTCTTGCAACAGCTGTAACCTGCAGCACATCTCTGGTTGTTCGTTGCTTCTAGCTTTGCGACTAGTAGGAAAAACATGTTTGGTTTCTTGGTGTTCATGTCACACTGCAAGTTACTCGTAAAGGGGAGAACCACAGGACTAGAGGACCAAAGGCGCAGGGCCCAAGGCCTGGAGGACCACACGACAAGGAGACCAGACTTCTGCCACCGTTACCACAAGACACACAAGGACCTCTGAAATGCACAAGAAAAAAGACAGCCAGGCATGGAGTGGCATCCAAATTATTCAAGGTATTTTTCCTTTGCGCTGGCTTCATCAATCTCAATCGTCCCAGTATTGCCTCCATAAGGATCCTCGAGTAGCTTCGGCGTTAGGGTCTACGACAGGATCGCCCTGCTTGACATCCGGGATGAAATGAAACAGCGCCACCACGGTGATGATCGGCATCAGTGAAGCAAGCAGAGAAGCCTTCCAAAGGTTCTCGAACTGAGCAGACTCGCCGACGGACCCTGTCGGATTGACGTCCAACATTTCCAGAAGAAGGGCTCCCCAACAGCTGGCAATCGTATTACCCAGATTGTGGCACCCCGCCAGGAGAGCATACATTGTGGCCTCCATGCCCCGTGGGCAGAAATACGAGAGGATGATAACTTGAGGCATCCACTGCCACTGCATAAGGACGTTCTGCATGCAGCTGGTACCTGAGACAGACTAAAGTACCGACTCACGGCTACGTCTAAATCTCATGAACCTCCTTGCAAGTATTGACGACTTCAATTCCAAACGTTTCAAGCAATCCCTCTCGCTCCCAGCTCTCCTATGTGCTGAGATCTTAAACTTCGGGCGCGGACAACCCCGAAGACGTGCAGGCAGGAGTCCCAGCACAAAAGCGTGGTCCGGGATGCCCATGCTAACGTTCAAGCGCTTGAACCTTGGTTGTGAAGTGTGTCATGGCTCTTCGGGTCCATCCCTTGAAGAGAGTGGGGAATCCGGGTGGCAAGACAGTGTCCAGGGCATTCATGAGGCAGAAGGCAATGTTGGTGACAAGCAGCAGGTTCCTGAGCTGCCAGATGCAAGTCATCTCAAGTTTCACGAAATGGTTGCCACAGGCCCGCCTACATACAGTAGGCATTGCCAAGCATCCTGTATCGGTAGGTGCTGAAGTAGCGCTGGAATGTCGCGACGCCCACCTTAACGGTCAGGTTGCCGTTGCAGTCTAGACTTGCTGCCACATCGTTTGCTGTGTTCCACGTCGAAGCATAGCATTTGACTGTCATTGCAATCTTCAAGATTCTATTGACTACATCTGTGGCTGATGCTCATGGCCAAGCTGCCAAGGACATGACTGCTCCAACCTCGGCTGCAGAAATTGCACCGACGGTCGAGGTTCTCAGGGAAGGGGTTGCTTTTCGAGGATAGAGCCGAACAAGGCAAGCAGCTGTTCCAATCACCGAGTTGTAGTAAAGAGGCGTGAAATGAGGGCCCTGCACCGTCAAATAAAAAACGCAAGCCTTTCTGTCGTCGGCTATTGGCTTTGCAAGCCTCTTTGTATTGCTCTTCAGTATCGGTCATGAAGTAGAATGCTGCGCCACCTCGGCAACTAGGCACATGTGCACATCTGCTGGCGTCTGGCTTGACGCCTCTCTGCTTCTTAGGCTGTCTGGCATCTGAGGCACTCGTCGATAATGATAACGACGTCTGCAACAACGACCACAAGTTGAACCTGGCTATTTCCGGGGAGAGAAGTACCTTGCAGCAGGCAGGTCTGGAGTTTTTTGCCTATGATGTCCGCAGACTCTGAGTTTTCACATCGGGGCCGAGGGACGCTAAAGAAGAAACCCACGACAAAGAAAGCGATGGTGGCAGCGATCGCGTTGACACGCGTGCTTGAAGAAATCAGCCCGCAAACGGTCAAACCAATGCAGACCACGCAGATCAACCTCAGTCCATCAGCTTCGAAATCTGTACAAGGGGCATGACTGTGTGCAAGCAGAGGCATAGCACGGTGATGAGCATGGCTGTGTGCACGCACAGGTTTTTTTGTTCTTCTTTGAACAGATACGGAAAATCTCATGCAGTACAGCATGCAGGACTGGCGACTCCGTAACATGTAACAGACGTCGCAGAAAGCTCCTGTGTGATGAGGACGTTCGGCATTGTGGGGATACTTCGGTAGTGTAAAGGCTTCGAAAACCCATCGGGCATGTCAGGGATGATTGCTTTCATGTTCGAGGTAGGGTCTACAGTAGTTAGAATACCAGGATTTAGAATGCATTTTGTGTGGCATTCGCCTATAATTTTGAGGACGGCCTGAATTTTAGAGATAGTTTATCAATACTACATGGGTTGTTTTTGCTTTCGGGTTTCAAGTGAACATAACTAGAGTGTCAGGACAAACAGTGTACTCGGTATGGTTTTTACGTTTACTTGGTGAAACATTCCGAATTTTAGAGCTATTTTAGTGATATAAAGGTTTGAAAGTCCATACAGTTAGTCGGGGACTGTTGATTTTATGTTGTCTGGTATACGGTCATTAAACATTTAGGTTGTTTATATACATGTTTATGGGATTTGCTTAAACATTTAAGATGTTCCGTATTTTCATGGTATTTTTGTTAATATTACATAATTCGATCCTTTAATTCAAAGTTGCAAAGGTTTAGGATACTGGGTTACTGGGTGTGTGGACATAGGACTTGCTGTAATCCGGCCTGAGCTGAGACCATGCTGCCCCTGATCATATAGACAAGAGTCGCCTGCAATGTGTCCAAGGCTCAGCAGTCATGACTGCATGCAATATGATAAAAAGGGACGCTGATGTGCAGCGTTCAAAGCTGGAAAAAAAGAGCCCTCTGCAATCAGAGCATTGCATGTATGAAGGAGTGCAGAATCGGTAAACAGTGTGGCATCAGAGATCAAGCAAGGTTCGAACAGCCCCAATGATCTTGAAAAGTCGAGGACACAGCCTCCCATCTGCGAACATGCAACGGGTATGCCTTCGCACTGAGGCGTGTCCTGCGATTCGTCCAGACTCGATGCAGGAGTCTGCAATGCCCAATCTTTGGACTAAGAGGGAAGACAGTGAGTTCTTGCTCTGTCATCCCTTTCAGTCTTGGCATTTCACCCTGGCACTTTCCGTAACATGTCATAGTCATACATTTCAACTATCGACGCATTTTCAACTGTCAGGAGAAAAAATTGTAGTGTCGGCTTCTTCTGAAAAATCTGCTGCAGCTGATTCCATCGCTCCTGGCAGTGCTTCCACATCGACGTTCCGATCTTGACGATAGGACTGTCAGGAAAGGACAAGGCGTATACGATTCCGACATCTTCCATAGACTTGTCCAGGCAAGTGCCGAGACGAGAAGTTAGAAGATCCCATGCCGCGCCTGTGCCCGGATGACCGCGCGCTTGGGTCCACAAGCCAGATGCAGGTAGATCTTTGTGGTGTGTCTGGATGGAGTCAGCAACTCCAGGTCGGCTTGGCGATGCACGAGCCATTCGTCGTTGGTCTCTGCTCGGACAGATTGTGTACCCATCCTCTGATCACGTAAAGGGCGCAGCACATCCTCGCTCGATGCAATACCCAATTTTTTACAGGGAAATGGTATAGATTGTAGGTGTAGTGCTCATCTCATTTCCCTTTCTCTCGAGGAGAGGGAGGACTCGATTCTCCGTCGCTGGTTTAATGTAAATTTTAGTTCTATGCCAGTTGGTATCTTGATTTTTTTGGTGCTGATGTAGTGTTTTGCGGATTTCGTTTGTTTGTGTATTCGTTTTCTCAATGTTTGTGTCGTATTTGCACCAGAACAGTAGTCATCCTACACCCAACCATTTAGTAACTTGTTTTTGATATTGGTGTGATGCTTTAAGATACTTCTGCAAATAACCAAACAACAACAATCCCGTTCAGTTCGCCTCGAAAGCTGCCATGTCCATCAGCACAGGAAAAGGCTCGACGGGATCTGGAAGATGTTTGTCTGTGAAGTGGGTCAGGTGTTCCAAATTACTCTGCTCCGCTTGCAGCAACATCACATCCTCTTTTGACAAGGAACCTTTCCGGTGGAGCGGGCTGTTGAGCTATTTGTGCTGATGCCGGAGCTGGTTCTGGAACGGACTGCTGAGCTGTCTGCTAAGCTGGCTGCTGAGCGTGCCCTGCCTTGAAGCCCTCCAAGCAGGTTCCTGCTTTGGCACGAGCCACCTCTGCTTTCAGGCGCAACTCCTTTTCCGCATCGGCTCTAGCTCTTGCCTCACCCACTCGCTCCTGTTGCTTCTTATGGCTGCGCATGGGGAAGTTCAGGTATGTGCGCAAATCATTCCTATTGATCTGCGAGACTTGACGACAAAGCAAATCCAACTGACTTTGGCTCGAGTCCAGCGTAGGCACGTTCTCTTCGGTGTAAATCGATCCTTGCCTAGATGATGAGGCCGGGTGAGGGAATGATCGCCTCAGTAGTCTTGAATCTCTCCGCTGGAAGAGCTTTGCGTGCAGGTGGGGACTTCGCAGCCGTCAGAGCGCTCGTTAAACGCTTGCTCAGTGGCGTTGCCTGATCGGGTGCATGCCGCTTATCCGGTGTCGGCTCTCGCAGGGAATCCAGCATGGATGCATCAGGAGCCCTGGATGCCTCAGGAGCCATGGATGCATCAGGAGCCGCGCCCGTGTCAGCCATGTCTACCCAGGCCTCAGCTTCATGCGACACCTTCATGCGACACTGCATTCGCATCGATCCTCACTGGCGCTCCCCATAAAGACGCCATGCCGTTGATGTCCTGAGTCGAGAGGAGAAGTTCTTGTGCTCGTAGCTGTGCCTCGCGAAGCGTCTCCGGGCTGACTTCACCAGCCGATGTAAAAAGTGTAGTTACCGAGCTCATTGCTGCGAATCTTTCTTCAAGCTGTAATGGCTGCATGGGCAAACTTTCAGAAGGAAGAAGGCTCATTTCACTCATGGTGCTCCTACTTCGACTGGAGGGTGCGTGCCCCCGTATATAATCATCGCTGCTTTCAAAACTGGAGGCAAGAGAGTCACGACATGCGGCCAAGATGCAAACTCAACAGGCAGGCCTCCTTCTGCCTCGCAATTCAGAATAACTGACGAGAGAAAGACGGAACGCCGGCTGCCTCTCTAGATGCTAAAGCAGCCCAGGTGCGCATAGAATTTCTTCCTTTTTTCGGCCTTCATCGTCGGTAGCTAGACTTGAAGACATCATGCAGATTGGTAGAAGATGATAAGTGATCTTCGCAGTGTGCCGAGGCTATGTGTTTTGCAAAAGAGGAGCTATTTCCTCTGATCGCACCATCTTTTCTTCAAGGCAGCCATAAAATAAAGGGATCAGAACCTGGCGCTGGAATGAGCGGGTAGTTGCTGGATTGTGGCCCACTGAGACTGTGGCCATTGCCGCTGGCAGGGCCTTAGCTCGAGCAGGTAACACACCCCGGTCACCTCAAACGCACCGCACGCACCCTGCATTCCCATCTGAGAACTTCGCAGAGATCAGGTAAGGCAGTTTTGGCGATCCATGAGCGAGGAGGAGGCCGGACAACAAGACGCCCAGCACAGACCTCGGCGCCAGGTCGCCCAACATCCAAAAACAGCTGCGTCAGGTTCTTGTAGGGATTTGTAGGGTCTTGCAAGTAGCGCCTCAGGAGGCTTCCGGCTCCAGGGTTCATGAGAGCTTCATGCGACCAAGCGGCCCTGCATTCATACCAAACCATACGAAGCCTTCGCACATCGTAGCTGCAAAGGGCTATCCAGTGGTCCGTTCAACAATTTCTGGGAGGCGATACGGTCTGCAACCAGAGGGCTCAGCACATGGGATCCGAAGGCTGGCACCTCCTGTATCTGCTGCGCATATCTTGCCTCAGGAATATATTTGCACACTGGTCGTTCAAGTCAAGCCGGAAAGATGCCAGCCGGAAAGATGTCGGGAGGCTTCAGCCAGGATATCGCAGACCGATAACTGCGACTGCTGCAGGAAGATACAAACTACCAGCCTCGGCAACGCGAGAAACAGCTCAACATGCAACGCGACTACTCACGGCTGTCTCCAGGGATGCCAGGTGCAGGCGCAAAACATGTAAGCCAGAAATGCTGAATGCTCTTCGTTCTGACATGAAGGTCCCTCCAAGCCTTCTCACACACTAAACAGCCCTAAACCCTGCTACTTTTTGAGACGTCGGCCTCTGTCGCCTACGTGAATTCGCAGATGCTTCGCCAAGAAGCACAGACACCGGAAGCATGCTGTGCGGCACAGCACCCACAGCGAGGAAGGCAGCGCTGCCAACGAAAACCGCTCCGATCATGTACGGTGCCTTGTGGTAGCCACCTGAGTTCTCACCGGGCAGCCCCTTTAGGAGCCCGGCTCGAGTGGACAGCACAGATACTCACAACACCAATTCACCAAAACGCAAAGACAAGGCCTCTTGCCAAAACAAGCGGGACGAGCAGAAGCACAGAACCGCTAGCTACTCGTACATCTTAGTTGCTTCTACGGCGTCGAAGATAGGCCCCTTGAGGTCAGCATCAGGATCCATCCGTCGCTCCGCCCCCGCAAGTTCGTCGAGGCACCTATGGGCATCACATCGCTGATGAGGCCCACCACGGGCTTCAAAGCCCACGGGAGCTTTGAGATGCCTTCCGTAGCAGAAACATGAGCAAGGAGGAATCTGGCGTCAAGAAGTGGGTGTTGCAATGGTGCTATACTCGTCACTTCACAGGGCTTCGGCTAAAGCTTTTTATGTGCAAACCATCACGAACCTTGGTAGATTTGAACTCGCGGAGCAGACACAGCATACCTTTCAGGCGAAAGAGCATCTGTGACGATGAGGGCAAGACTCCCCAAAGTATGTTCTAACTAACGTTGCTGGCAAGCTGCGTCTTGTACACATACGACTCCTTAGAGTTGCCATGCAGGATAATACTAAATGCCAACTGCATCTGTGCTACAAAACGAGATCTAACAAATAGCCAAGCTGCCGCTTGACCCGAGAAGTCGGCCACA